TAAGAATCTGTAGTCCCCAATATTTATTTAAAGAAGAAACATACATAGAAAACACATTCAAAAACCTACAATATCCATATCAGTTCATCCACAACGCAAGAAGAAAGGCATACAAAATATACAAACGAAACAAAACTAATAATATAATCCGCAATAGTATTTCACATGAAAACAGACACATAATACTACTGACCAATTCTGTCACGTCCACTATCCAGAATAACCTATCCCATCTAAATAATCTTGAAATAGTCACAAACACTTCCAAAACCATTATAGATATACTAAGATCTGCAAACAATAATAGCACTAATATTTCTGAAGCAGGCATTTATAAAATAAATTGCCAAAACAGTTCATCCCAATATATTGGAGAAACAAGTAGAAGTTTGAAAAAACGCATTTATGAGCACAAAAGATACCTCACAAAAAACAACTTAACTAATGCACTAGTCATACATAGAAATAAATTCAACCATAACTTTGATTTTAAAAATGCTACACTCATAAAAAAAGAAAATAACTCAGAATGAAAATTCTGGAGAGTGCCACCATAGAAAATTACCCAAATATTAATCTACGCCCAGGTTTTTTCCCCCATTTCACCTTTCTTAACAAAATTACTGCTCTTACAAACAAATATACACAACAGATTCATAAAATCAAAAGAAAATGGTTAAATACATCAACACAGATATAATGACAATATTCTCCACATGTGACAAATACTGACGTTATTTTTCAGTTTAAAATATGAAAATAGTGTTTCTCTGCATTCCAGTTGCTAGGTACATTCTGTTTTTGTTTTTATTAGTTACTTTGTTCAATTAATTTCATTTTCGTATTTTGCTTTGATAAAGTCCACATTGGACAAAACGCATCAGCAATTACCAGTTTTCCTATTGTCATTTTTATTCATAAATATTGTCTTCTCTACAGGTTAAATCAGAGAAATTTTAAATATATATATATATATATATATATATATATATATATATATATATATATATATATATATATATATATTATATATTGTTTTTGTGTTGATAATTGTAACAAATAAAAAAAAATTGATTTACCACAACACAGAGCTAAATCACAAACAAATATTTAATTTACTAAAACAGAACATAAAATATATACAGGATAAACAATTGTGGCCTACAAAACAGAAAACACAGAGTTACTTGCAGAGTGTTACGAGAAAGAAGGAAAGGGAGTCAAATATCTTTATCACTTTAGGGCTAGTGAAGTAATCTAATGCTATATTTGGAAATGTGTGTAAATAAATATTAATTTTAGTTTGGTCAATGAAAATTAGCCAAAATTCTATTTACCAACTTTGTTCCATGAAATTCTCTTTTGGGTTTTTTGGTTGGTCGGCAACTTTTATAGAGATTCTTTTGGGCTGGATATAATAGTCCTTGAATCAAAAAGCGGAGTTGATAACAGCAGAAATTTCCATTCATCAACTGACAACCCTTTTCCAAAATCCCATTTTTATAGGGGCTAACACCTAATTTGCATATTTCTAGATGTTTCTCGAACCATCTATTTTTTTTCTCGAATATACTAGAATGATCTAGAATCTTCCAAACATTCTATTTCTAATTTCTCTATTTTACAACTACTTCATGAATGAAAACTTTTTTGTAATAACAAGTAGAACTCAGTGGAATCCCTTATTATAGAAATGCATCCTCGTAACAATATATATATATATATATATATATATATATATATATATACTATTAATTATTAGGGGTTTCTAAAACATGTAAGGTATATAATGTTTATATATGTACATTATATATGTTCCAAAGGTTGTCATAAGCAGGGGTGATAGTGGGGACATACTCCCACTGTCTATAAAATGCTACCAATTAAGTTCAGTTCCAAGCTGGAGAAATAGCAATAATGGACCACTGGCACCTCATAATCATCTGCTTCAGGTAGGAATTCATCAGCTCATGAAGGCAGTTCATTTAGGAGAAGGAAAACGCTGAGTTTAGACCTCCACTGCCCTGCGACCTTATCCAAACATGGCAAACACTATGGAAGTAAATCCTGACAAAAAATCCAGAGTGGAGCCCTGAAACTGGTTGGCTGTCAACACTGACAACCCCTGCAGCCAATCCATCCCCAAATGTAATGCCCTGTATTGTTGGTACAGTTGAGAATCAGGGAGCAATGTGGTCTGGGCAATACCCAGCCTCTATATACCATTGCCCAGGCTTGTGCCACAGAGAGTTCACTCCAGTCTTACCACCTGGTGAGAGCACAAAACAGGAGACAAAAAGTAAAACCAACAGTTAAAGGTTAAAAGACAACACAGGAAGAAGAGAGAGGGAGAGAGCAATCTCAGAACGTTCATTCCCCATTCCAGCTTTGTCTGTCATACCTGCAGAAGAGAGTACCATGCAAAACTCAAGACTGTTAAGCTACTCCAGATGCTGTTCACAAAAAGGACTGAATTTTTAACATTATTTTGTGAGATAAACAGATGCCTACTAATGTCTATTTCCCACTAGTTCTCTAGTGATTATCTATCGACTTTTTGTTCAGATGAAATCTCATTGGATCAATTTCAAAGAAACAATATATTAGAAAGCTGAAATTCTTAAAAATAAGATAGTATTTATCATTTCTAAGACTCATGCTTCATGTCATAGCACACTTTTAACATGAAGAACTCATTTCATATAATCAACCAAAATTTCTCAGGTTTCAGTTTAAATGAAGTAGATATTTATGGAGAGGTGAAGGTTTTAGACATCAGCAGTAATAAAGGATTTTTATTTATATTTCATGGCTTAAGTTACTTGAAAAAGTTGAATTATCAAATTTGAATGTTATAAATGAATACACCAAATAAAATTGATGATGGTTTAAACATCTGTAAACGATTTTGATTACTGAAATCATTTGAAGAATATGGCCCACTTAGTAAACATTTTATATCATGTATAACTGATGGCTATCAATATTGTATTAACAAATTGTTAAATCTCTAAAGTAAGATTTAGTACATGACAAATTTAAATTAATATTAAAAATTCTTAATGTGAATTTGATATGGTGATTTTCTGAGCATAGCTTAGATGTGGCACAAGGCCAAAAGCACGGAGCATCCAATGAAGATCAAACTCACTACTCAGTCATAATTGTTGTCATGAGACAAGCTTGCTAACCATTACAACACATCACGGTAACAAATTTGATATATAATGTTATATTGTATATGTATATGTTCCAAGATAAATTATGCTGTATTAATAACCAAAATTTCCTTGTGAATAGTGTTATCCAAATGCATTATATAAACTCTTTAAATTAAAAGATGCAATTTTAATTCACATAATCTCAAGTGAACTTTCTCTCATAATTTTATTAATAAAATAATAGTTGTCTATTTTTCAATGGACATCAAAATTTCTCTTCTCGTTTGTTTTTTATTTACAATTAAAACTTGTAATATCACTAATCTATACAACATATCTTGAGAGAAACATTATACAGACATTCTGGAATAGTTTACAAAATTAAAAAAAAGGTTTTATGTTTTCTTTTAGTTTAAAATCAATTTTTATTTTATCCTCCAATATATCCTCTGAGACTGGGATGAGACTAAGTTGAATGCAAACTTTTAAAGAAAGTAAAGCAATTAAATTTTGTCCCATTGTAATTCCTTCATGAAAACAAGCATATAAATGGACCATAAATTTAAAAAAAAAATTGATAATAAAAAATCTAACCAGTACTTCAGTAACTTCAATACAATACTTCATTGTATTGAAGCTACTGAAATATTGTAGTGAAACATTTCATTATTTTTTATATTTTAAATCATTAAAATCTGCTTTTCATTTTTATATATGTCACAATTATAGTCATCATCAATATTTTAATAATTCATTAAATAAAGTTATAAAGAAATAAATGAGTAGACTAGGTTCTCTAGAAACCAGTCTACTCAGCAACCAATCTAGGGGAAAGAAAACCATGAAAAAGCAACAGGAAACTACTTCAATAGCTTCCCCAAAAAGGCATGTAAATTCACAGATAATAAAGAAAAAAGGAATCTATGGAAAGTCATGATTGTTTACGTCCTGAAGTGATATGTCACTTAAAACAAAATGTAAAAATATTTGCTTTGCTCAATATCAAAATGTTCAAATACAATTGGTATTCTTTTGACTCAATATCTTGCAAAATGATTTGACATCTTTTTTTGTAATTAATCCTATCCTAAATAAATGTTACAGATAAATACAAATATCTATATAATTAACCAACACAATTTGGACAACACCTATTTTTGACCAATTTTACAGAATATGTCCATCTATTCTGGATACTAATGTTTTCTAAAGAAGTTGCTTGGATATAAAAGTAAACATCAGTAAATGATGTTAGTTTTTAATATTTCTTTTTTTTTTATTTTTATATCTCTTATAGATATTGAAATATTCTAAAATATCTAATACAATTTTTATATGCATAAAAATACCATGCCATACTCAGTATAACTTTCGGTGATAATTCAATTATTTGTGATTCTGTAGTATTAAATTTTGATATGAACAGTTCAAAGAAAGATTATTTTTCAATGTTTGTTGGTTTTACTTAACAAACACAAAAAGGCCTGTAAATACCATTGTTATAACAAAAATACCACTACTTTATTATTGTAATTAGTGATATGTATCCAACAGAAAAAGTCCCAGTGGGACTTGTTAAACATTTAGCAGCTTGAACAAAACTAATATTTTGTCAAGGATTAAAAAAAAAAAAAAAAAAAAGGGATTTATATGCTTGTGTGGAATGTGTATGTAAACATTTTGTGAACATGGTGTATATGTTCCAATAGACTGAGTAGTTGATAAGTTATGAACAAAGGTATATAAAATGAACATTTATTTCATTGAATCTACAAGAAAAAAAGAGAAACATTGAATTCATTCACAAATATATAATAACAAAAAAGAAATATTTGTTACCTTCAACTGATTTCTGATAACAGCAGAAGGATCAAAAGGAACCTGATTTTCACTTTGGTTCTTCATCAATTCATGTAAAATTATACGTTCAGTATTGATTAAAGTAAAACCAAATGTACAGATCAATTCATTAACAATTGCTCCTTTCTTTGAGCCAGGCCCACCTATATTAAAAAAAATTACAAAAATTAATCAAACATTGTCTTTTAAAGTACAAAAAGTCTTGTTTAGAAATTTTAAAGAAAAAGAAATGGTCCATATATTTTTTTAAATCAACATAATTCTTAGAACATTACTATAGTAAGTACATCAATAACTTGGCAACCTAATGATGAAAAACATCTATTTTATACAACAAATATTTATATTACAAACATCAAGCTTTAAGAATAATTCTTCACTCAGGTGACAAAATCAAGATATTAAACAGGCTGTTGTTCATTAAATATCATCCCAAATACTCCCAACTACCAAGAATAATTTTCAAGCTGATGACATGACGCATGGAAGTTGTTGGTGAAATTCATCTCCGAATTCTGAGATAAGAAACAACTTTCTTTCTAAGCCTTCACTGTAAAAAAAGTTTGATGTTTTTTGGTGACATCCCTTTCATACCAGCCACAATGTTACAACCATTTTATCTACTAAACACTAGCTTATGCACAATTTGTTCATATTGTCATAAATAACAACCACATTACCCTCCAATGTAGTTTATTTAACTACACTCTGAATTCTGTTATAAAAATAAGAGCACAGTATAGGACAATAAAGATATTGAATTAATTATACTATCAGTCTTTGAAAATGATATATACCTTATACTGATAACTTAGTACACATTTCTAAGATACTGACTCAGAATCAATGTGAAAGGATTCAAGACAAAATATTACCCCACTGTCACAGAGCAAATCAGTTACATTACATTCTGGTACTTTCAATCTTGTTACCAATAAAATATTGGAATTCTGAAGAACAAACTTGTGAGTCATTAATTACAAGAAAATGTGGAATCAAAAATGTTCAGAGACAAGTTCTGAGAATTTGTGAATGTCTTTTTGTATTCTGTAGTGAGATGCAAATTAGTATAATTTGCATATGAGCAGGTAGCTCATATGATAAATGGACACCAACTAGAACAGAGGTCGAATGCTTACTTAGCAATATACACGACACAACAATGGCGTCGCCGATAGGATACTCTTTGGTCCTTGAAGACCCAGAGTACGTAGATACGTGGATTCGTTGCTTTGCTGCTAATGCAAGATGTAAAAAGTTGAAAGACAACAAAAACAGAGGAGGGGAAAATGAAATCACCGACTTGTTCATGGCTACAGCTGGTTGTGAAGCGATTATGAAGGTTGCTACAATGGTTTACCCTCGAGAACTAGAAGAAATGACTTTCGAAGAAATAAGTCAGGTTATTAAGGGAAACATGAGGCCAAAGAAAAGACTGGTGATTGCAGAAAGGACCAAGTTTATGGCAATGAAGCAGGAAATGGATGAACCGATAGTAAAATATTTACACGGTTAAGAAGTGCGAGTAAATACTGTGAATTTGAAAAACTAGGAACAGGAGAGCAGACAACGGAAGAATAATTAATCCAACTAAGATTAATTGAAGGTATGCATAATTCAGCACATAGATATAAGTTAATGGAACAGTTACAACTTACAAACATGCCTTTGAATATGTGTATAGAATTTATACAACAGCAGGAATTAATACATACCTACAACCAAAATAAAAATAAATCCTACGAAGAAATAATGGCTGAAACATATACGGTACAAACAAAAAGAAAAAATTGTGCATACTGTGGAAAAATTCATGAAATGAAAAAAGAAAAATGCCCAGCCTTTGGAAAGATGTGTTCAAAGTGTTTAAAAAAAAAAATCACTTCAAAGAAGTATGTAAAACGAAAAATGTGGAAAGAGTAGAGGATGAAAATAGACAGATTTTTAATGTAAAAAAGGATAATATACAAAATACTGGATCTAAGAACGGAGATACAAAAATAAAAGTGAAAATCAACGACTGTATTGTCAAAATGCAAATCGACACGGGTAGTGAGGTCACGATATTACCCAGAAATTTGTGGGAAAAAATGGGAAAACCGTTTTTAAAAAAACCAATGTACAATTATGTCAGTTTGATGGCTCGATTATAGCAATTATGGGTTACTTTGAAGGTTCAATAGAACTAAAAAGAAAATATGAAATAGTACCCATTATAGTTACAAATTGCCGAAAAATGCATGGACTATTGGGGAATGATGTGTTAAAAATAAATTCAACGAAGTTGATTAATGAGATAGAAATAGAAAAAACAGGAAAATTAAAAAATTATGAAGCTAGCTTGAAATTAAAAGAAAATGTTTCCCCCTCCTACTACGAAGTGAGAAAAATACCAGTGCATTTATTACCGTTGGTAATAGCTAAATTGCGAAAGCTAATAAAGGAAGACTTATTAGAACCTGCCCCTCCAGGAGGAAGTAAATGGGCATCACCCATTGTGGTATTGAAAAAAAAAGATGGTGACCTGAGAATTTGTGGAGATTATAAAATAGGGGTGAACCATAAAGTTTGTGCTGACTCGTACCCTATTCCGAATGTGGAAGTAGCTTTACATAAACTTGCTGGAATGAAAGCATTTTCGAAGATAGACCTAAAATTAGCTTACCATCAAATACCGATAAATGAAAATTTTAAAGAAGTGACGACTATAAACACACCTATAGGCCTGTTAAGGTGGAAAAGAATGCCGTATGGCATAAAAACGGCAAGTGCAATTTTTCAAAAAGCTATTGAAAAAGTAATAGGAAATGTTGAAAATACCATCTGTTATCAAGACGATATATGTGTTGGAGATTTAAATGAAGATGATTTAAAGAAAAAAACTGAAAATATATTGAACCGGCTAAGAGACACTGGTATGACAATAAATACAAAAAAGTGTGTAACCAACAGTAATGAAATATCATTTTTGGGTTACTTAATATCAAAGGAAGGGATCTCTCCAGATAAAGTACTAATAGAGAAAATTCTAAAAGTTGCTACACCGAAAAATAAAAAAGAGTTGGAGTCCTTCTTAGGTTTGGTAAATTTTTATAAAAAAATATGTACCAAAATATAATGAGTTGACAGAACCATTTGCTAAGTTAAAAAAAAAAAAAATGTGGAATTCATTTGGTTAGAACACCAACAGAAAGCCTTTGAAAACTTAAAACAGATTCTGGCAAAAAAGCCAATAGTACAAATTTTTGACCCTAAGAAGGACATAACTAACTACTGACACTAGTGAGCAGTCCATATCTGGTATTTTGTCACAAGATGGGCATCCCATAATGTACTTATCGAGGAGATTAACAACAAATGAACACAATTATTTGAATATAGAAAGGGAGGCACTAGCCATAGTGTGGACAACGGATAGAGCAAGACAGTTTTGATGGGAAAAAATTCTTGTTGAAAAGTGATCACAGACCACTGGAATTTATTTTCAACCCAAGAAAAGAGCTACCGAAAGTTACAACGTCCAGAATATTACATTGGGCGATTAGACTGATGGCGTTCGACTTTGACATTGAATATGTTAAAGGGAATATGATACCGCACGTTGATGCCTTATCTAGATTGAGGTTTTATAGAGAAGGACAAAAACGACAAGGAATTTGAAGACACATTCTTGCACCTTGTAGAAACCGATATAATAACTGTAGATAAAATGGCTACTGAAACTACAAATGACCCAGTGTTAAATAGAATAATGTCGAGGATAAAACAGAATCGCTGGGGAAATTGTTCAATGGCTGAAAGACCATTCAAAGAAATTAGACATAGAATGACTATAGAAAACGGGATAATATGTAATGGAGACTTGGTAGTTCACCCAGAAACACAGAGGAGACAGGTTATAAAAAGTGTACATGATGACGTACATTGTGGAGATTAAAATTGGAAGCGTGGTGGCCGGGGTACTCAAGAGACGTAGAAGACTACGTAAGAAGATGCAAAAAATGCACAGAAGTCAGGAATTTTAAGCAAAAGAAAATACATGTATGGCCCTGAGAAGTAGAACCATGGAGCAGAGTACACATGGACCATGCCTATGTCAATGGGATAGGACTATTATTAATATTAGTAGACGCATATTCAGGTTGGCCTGAAGTGGTGAGAGTACCTGATAAAAAAAGTACCACCGTCAAACAAATATTAAGAGTAATATTTTCGAGGAATGGGACACTGAGAACATTGGTGACTGATAACGCACCAGAATTTGTGGATGCTGATTTGCATGAATGGCTAAGAAAAATAGGATGCAGACCTTACAAGACCCCTCCCTACCACCCTCAAAGTAATGGGACAGTGGAAAGGATGGTCCAGACGGTAAAGAAGGGCATAAAAGCATGCTTGCAACAGAAGGAGGAAGTCGATGCTTTTCTACCAAGACTACTATTAAGTTACAGAACAATTCCACATGCAGGCAGGCGGAAAGTCCATCTGCCTTAATGGGCAGACAATTAAGGTCCCTTTGACTATGTCATATGCCACAAATCAAAAGATGTGGTACAAAAGAAATAGGAATATGCAACCCGAGTCAGCCGAATTTATTATGCAGAAAGTACATAATACTGCAATATTAAATAAAGAAAATGGGAACAGTGTTCTAGCTCATGCTGACCAAATAAGATCCCAAGGAGAAGAATCGGATGAGGAAATGCCTTCAGAGATGCCCATTATTGACGTAACAGAAGAGTTAATGCAGAATGAAACTACTGCGGAGGAAGAAGTAGAGAGGGATGAGTTAGAAGAGGAAGAAGTAGAATGGGACAAGTTAGAAGAGAAAGACCACAGTATGCAAGAGGAACAGTTCGATTATAGGGAAAGACGTGATAGATCTAGATCTCCAAGGGAAAGGAGAGAGATAAAGGAAGATGTTCAGGAGGGCACAAGAAGAAGTACAAGAAGTACTTGCGGGATAAGGCCCCTCCGTTATAGGGAGATGTAGTGAGATGCAAATTAGTATAATTTGCATATGAGCAGGTAGCTCATATGATAAATGGACACCAACTAGAACAGAGGTCGAATGCTTACTTAGCAATATACACGACACAACATATTCATAACAGGTTCATTATGTTTAACATATTTTCAGTTG